GTGGTCCTCAGAATTCAGGTCCCCAGGATAGGACAATCTATAACACAAAACAAGCGTTTCGCTCGAGACATCCTCACCATTTTCTGAAAAACAAGCGTTTCGCTCGAGACATCCTCAAATTTTAATTCGCCGGCCTCCTTCGACCTCGTTATTTATCAGGGAAAAATTTCGCCGGCCTCCTTCAAGTTGGCACCGGGGGACAGGTTTACCCACTAAAAGAGAACCCTGGGCCAAAGCCCTTTCCGGGAAAAAACAATGTTTCTAAAAATTCGGTGCAGCAAATCAGGGCGAGGAGGTGTGTCGAAGTAGCGTTCTGTCCACGAATCGCAATGTCTTCCAGCAGTGGCAACGAAGGCGGGCTGACCACGAATTGTCTCCTGGAACGGCTTTCCTCTCGGAGGCCTCCTGAGGGGACCGGACGGTGGTGCCACAACAGCGCGTCATGACATTCATCATCCAGACGAAAGTCCTGCTATGATACGCGACCCAATACACATGCGAAGGGCCAACCTTCCATGGACCAGTGCTGGATTAGGACGCCATTGCGCACATCTTTGGAGCACCAGGCGCACCACCGTGTCATGACATCAGTGGGCCACACCAGCGCGTCAGGACAAACATCATCATGAGGATGTTCCTGCGACAACACATGCGTGGATGCACATGCGGACGGCCAGTGTCCCATGTGTACCCATCGCTCTGCCACACCAGCGCGTCATTGCAATCATAATCGTGATGATATCCCTGCTACGACAACACACGCATAACGTGCAATCGTTCGGTCTGGGGCGCTCTCACGTCGCCAGCGTGCGTCGATACCTCTTGCTTTGGGCAGAGGCCAATGGGGTCGAACGCTTGATGGGGGAAGACAGCGCTTGTAGTTCAGGCGACGTGCTGCTCGAGCCACGAAACGAAGTGTTTTCTCGCCGCGGCACCGAAAAGGACGTGTCCACGAAATCGCCCTCATAATGGCTTCCCGTCAAACGGGCTTTTCAGGGAACCGAGCGGTCTTGCACAATTTTGGGGATCGGTGCAGAATGGAGACTCCATGGCGCATACTTTCGGCAGCCCAGTGTGTCATGAGATCGGTGTGCCACACCAGAGCGCATCATGGCAGCCATCATCATGACGATGGTCATGCGATGATACACGAAGGAATCCACATGCGAAGGCCAGCCTGCCATGACACCGGTGTGCCACACCAGCGTGTCATGACACTCATCATCATGTTGGGGTGATGATGATGATGATGATGATGATGGTGATGATGATGATGATGATGATGATGATGATGAGATGATGGTTCTGCGACGAAGCATGACTGGATTCACGTGCGGAGCTCCAGCGTTCCATGTGTATTATCGCTCTGCCACACTCGCGACAGGATGTTCGTCATTCAAAACGATGCCTTGCTTCGACGGCACGCGCAGAAAATGCAATGGAGACGTCCGGGGCGCATAAGACGGCAGCGTCAATGGATACCTTTTTGCCTTGGGCAGACGCCAAGCGGGCCAAGCAGGTGGCGCACCTCCTCCTCCTCCTCCTCCTCCTCCTCCGCCTCCTCCTGCCACTCCTTCTCCCTCTCCTCCTCCTGTTCCTCCTCCTCCTCCTGCTCCTCCTCGTCCTCGTCCTCCTCCTCCTCCTCCTCCAAATCCTTCTCCTCCTTCTCCTCCTCCTCCTCCTCCTCCTCCTCCTCCTCCTGCTCCTCCCCCCCTTCTCCTCCTCCCCCCCTCATCCTGCCCCTCCTCCACCTCCTCCTCCTCCTTCTCCTCCGCGTTCTACTCCTCATCCTCCCTTTCCTCCTCCACCTCCTCCTCCTCCATCGCGTCCTCCTCGTCCTCCTTGGCGTCCTCCTCCTCCTCCCCCGCGTCCTCCTCGTCCTCCTTCTCCTCCTCCTCCTCCTCCACCTCCTTCTCCTCCTCCTCCATCTCACCCTCCATCTCACCCTCCTCCTCCTCCTCCTCCTCCTCCTCCTCAGCCTTCGCGTCCTCCTCTCCCCCTCCGCTTCCGCATCCTCCTCCTTTTCCTCCCCCGCAACCTCCTCCTCCTCCTTCTCCTCCTCCTCCTCCGCGTCCTCTTCCTCCTCCTCCTCCTCCTCCTCCTCCTCCGCGTCCCACTCCTCCTCCTCCTCCTCCTCCTCCTCCTCCTCCTCCATCTCCGCGTTCTCCTCCGCGTCGTCCTCCTTCTCCTCCGCCTCCTTCCCCTCCTCCTCCTCCTCCTCCGCCTTCGCGTCCTCTGGTTCCCCCCTCTCCTCCTCATCCTCCTCATCCCTCTGCTTTCCTTTGTCCGTCCTCTTCCTCAGCGTCTACCTAATGTCATCCCTCATCGTCGCCCCGCAGGGCGTGCGGCGAGACTGCGAAGGCTGTCCTGCAAGCGTTGCCGAAGATGTCCGTTTTCTCTTCCTCCTCCTCCTCCTCTTCTTCTTCTTCCTCTTCCTCCTTCTCCTCCTCCGCCTCCTCTTCTTCCCCCCTCCTCATCGAGCGAGAGAGGAAGAAAACAGAAGGGCGCACCAGCTCGGGGGTGCAACAGCCCGAGTCGGCGCTAAACCCTGGTCAACCAGCGCCGCGTGGCCACTTGGTAGCTCCTCGGCTCCGCGTGGCTCCTGATCCTGGGTCGGCCAGGGGGCACCACGGGAGACTGGCCGACCCCCGTTACGGCTGACGCCCTCTGCTGCCTCCCTCCCATCGGCGGCGAGCGAGGGGGGGAAGTGAGAATGAGAAGGCCTTCTCAGAAGGCTCGGAAGTCCCCCGGCCTCCTGAGAAGTTGTCAAAGCCTTCCCCGAAGGCAGAAAACCACTTCTCAGAAGGCACGAGGGCTTCTGAGAAGTCCCGCCGCCTTCTGAGAAGGCCTTCTCCTTCTCATTTCCCTCCTCGCTCGCCACCGAACCAAGCCATCACTCACACCTCGGGCGGCCGCTCGGGACGATGCTGGCATCCCCAGTGGAGCCTGCTTTCAATGCTCCGCGATGACGAGCGAGCGCGATCGGGGGAGGGGGGGAGGGGGGGCTCGTCCCCCCCCCCCCGATCGCACCACGGCGAGGGACCGCGAGTGATCTTAGGAACTCCTCTCAGAACCCATCGGGAATCTCTGCAACAAGCCCCAAGAGGAGGGCCCCAAGAGACCCCCAGGAAGCCCCAGGAGGCCCCCACGAGGCTCCCAAGCTGCCCCCAAGACTTCCCTCTCGGAACCCATCGGGAACCTCTGCCACTGTGGGCAACACAGCGCAACGTGATCCGGGCGGGGGGGGGGCAGGGGGTCGAGGGCCGATCGCGGCCGCCGTCGCCCGGACCTGTGAAAGGACAGGCTCCCGGAGCCCCGAGGAGCCTCCGGGAGGCCCCACGAGGCCCCCAAAAGAGGCCCAAGAGGGGCTCTCAAAACCCCCCGGAGGCCCGGCCCCTTAAGAGGCCTCAACCGTGCTGCCGGGAGGCCCCCGAGAGACCTACCAGGAGCCTCCTCCTCCTCCTCCTCCTCCTCCTCCTCCTCCTCCTCCTCCTCCTCCTCCTCCTCCTCCTCCTCCCCCCCCTCCTCCTCCTCCTCCTCCTCCTCCTCCTCCTCCTCCTCCTTCCCCAAGGGGTCGGCGGTGCGGCGCAAGCTCAAGAACAACAAGCTCCCGGGGCGCTCTCGGCGAGGCGCAGCCGAGAGAGGAAGCTGCTCGGCAGCTGCCCAAAGTGAGCTGCCGCCCTCCCCGTGCCGCCCCGCGGGTCCCACCGCCCGCGCCCAAGGGGGACCGCGCCGCTCTCTCGACCCGCGGGGGGGGGTCGGCCCCGTGGGGGGGGCGCCTTGAACTGTATGAAGTGCTGGTAGATCTGCTTCAGCCGGCCCTGGCGGCGGGGTGCGGCGAGGGGGGTCGGGGAGGGAGGATCGGGGAGTGGCGCCGAGGGAGGGCGACCAGCGAGGAGGAAAGGGGGAGGCTGTGAACAAAATGTGTCATTGTTTAAACTTTTCGGGGGGGGGCCAAAGCGGGGCCGCGAAAAGTAGAAAAGTAAAAAAGTAAAGACGGGCAGAATGCAGGAAACAATGTGCGAAAAGTAGAAAAGTAGAAAAGTGGGTCCGGCAAACTGAGAGACACGAAAAGTAGAAAAATAGGAAAGTAGAAAAGTGTACGATTGCTCCCCACGGATGCGAAAAGTAGAAAAGTAGAACAGTAGAAAAGAGATGTTGTACTTTTCTACTTTTCTACTTTTCTACTTTTCTACTTTTCTACTTTTCGCAATGGTCTCGCCTCTTCTTGAAGTTTGTGTTGCTCCTCTCTTGGACTGATTGCTTCGCCTCGTCCTCATTACGACATGTTCTTGCAGCGTTCCCAGCGTATCCGTTTCATCTTCGACGTGCTTCTGCCGCTCTCTAAACATTTCGCCTGGTCGCTTGGCTGGCGTTCCCGACGTGTCTGTTTCCCGTGCCTCCTCCTGCGTTGCCCCGCCCTCTCTCTTTACAATTCGGTTTCTCCGCCTCCTCCTCCTCCTCCCCCTTCCCTCATCCTGCTAATCCTGCTCCCTCTCCTCGTCCTTCTCGCGGTAGTCCCCGATATTAAATTCGATCGGCGTCCTCTGTTAATTTTGTTTGTTGTGCACCACTTCCTCCTTCTCCGCATTTCCCCCATCGTTTTCCCGGCCCCCATTGCGTGCGTTCCCAGCGTATCCGTTTCATTTTTTTCCTCCAGAGCCCCCTTGCCCTTGACTTCCCCATTCAAGGGGAACGAATCGCTATTATAAATTGCCCAAGGTGAAAACGCTGTAAACCCGACCAATCTCTGCCTCAGACAATGGCAGGGCGGGCGCGCGGGAAGCTGATGCAATCGGCGTCTTGCACTGAGTCTCGCCAGCTAGTGCGGCAGCGAGCTTTTCCTTAGAAAGCAGCAGCTGCGCGAGATGGGCAGTGTTGGCGTGGCCGCGGGCGTGGAAAATACGAAGAAGACGGCTTTGCAAGAGTCGCATCCAGCGGCTGAGGATGATAATGCGCACTGTGGAGAGGCTCGCCTGAGACCGCCCCTAGTTCCGAGCCTGCCGCTGGATGTTGCGCCATAAGCGCTCGACCCCAATGCTGCCGAGGCTGATGTCAAACCCGTGGGCATGGGCCCAGGCCTTGATACGGAATGCCGCCAGCAGGCCGTGGACGTGGACGTCCTTGCATTGCTCCTGGACAGCATCGCAGAACGGCTGGTGACCCGCTGGAACAGCTTGGAGGCTTGTCGCTGCCGGCTGGGCGCTGTCTTCTCGTCGCATCACGGGCCGCCGCTTCTGCAACCTCAGCAAATACGCATGCTGAGCCCGGTGCCACGCGGTGCCGGCATCCCGCGGCACGCCAGCAAAACACGGCAAGCGCAATAAGTTCATCAGGCCTTGTAGATCTGATCGGATCGACTCGGCAGTCGGGAAAGACTCGCAGCAGGCGCGATATGCGACCGCCGTCGCCTCTGCGCGCGGAACCCCCGGGTTCGCCCAACGCGCGATATCGTCAATCACCACGGCCTTGGCGCACGGCGGCAGGATTGCACCGTTATCTGGGTGCGTCCACTTGTCCGAAGCCCTGGCCTGGACCATCTTCAGGGCGGTCTGCGGCAGCCGCTGTGCACGGAAGTACGCAGAGAGGATGCTGGGGAGATTGGCTACTGGTTGCGCTGGCCCCCGTCCCTCGGCGGCATCGGCAGCGGCATACAGCAATTCATCCTGCGCGTCCTGATGTTCGGCCCCGTCGTGTCCAGCGCGCACGAGGGGGTTCCAGGGCTTTCCGCAGGCAGCGGATTGCCCAGGCGGCCTCGCGAGATGAGATATGGATGGCTCCCAGCAATCTCATATAAATATGTAACGGGGCCTCGCCGAGCTCGAAGCCAAACACCTTGTAAGTCGAGCGGTCGACGACGATGCGGCCGGCGTCCATCTGCGCGCGGATAAAATCATCCGCGGGGCTGTCCTGCATGACAACAGTGCCAGGAGGCAGAGCCGCCTGCAGACACGACACCATCATCGAGAAATCCGCCGCCAAATTGTCTGTGTTCGCCCCCATTGGCCGAGCGCCGTCCAGCTGCATCAACGTGAGCGCAGTCAGGAGGAGCTTCTCTTTCTGGGGCCGATTCTCAATCGGACAATACAGTGGCGGCAGAGGCGGTATATCCTCGAGTGCGGCAAGGCCCCCAAAGACCCGCTTGCGCTGGTTCCTGCCCCCGAGCGCTCGGCAGCTCAACTGCCGACAATCGGACGCGCTGAAATCCATGTTGAGAACGGCCCCTGTGGCCGCCAACGCATACCTTGACAGGTCGACGCAAAGCGGCGTCCAAACGGCGTTTGCGTACGCCGACAGCAGTGACCCGAACGTCTGCGGATCTGGGGCAAGATCCGCAGCGCGGTCGAATGCCCGGAGCAGCACCGCCCGCTCAGAGCCGGACAACTCGCCCAAGCGAGGGTGTTGAGACAGGGACCGCGCCATCGAGTCAGCGGTGGTTGCTGTCACGTGTCGGCGAACCGCCTCGTAGCACTCAGTTTCTTCGAAGACCAGCAACGCGGATGGCCAAAAGTCGCCCGTGACGACCAGCTTGCCCACGACGTCTGCAGAGAGCGATGCCCCCCCCGATGCGCAGGCACTCACGGGGACGGACCAGACGCGACCATGCGCCTTGCACTTGCACTTCTGGCACAAGCTGGCCCGCACGCCCACCGAGGAGAGCACTCGCGGTCCGGGCTGGCGCCCCTGGTGCACATCGTGCAAATCTTGTCGTCCCTTACCTGCATCGGGACAAAAAAGAAAAAAAAAAAACAAAAAAAAAGAGAAAACAAAGTAAAAAAAAAAGCAAGAAAATAAAAAAAAAAAAAAAAAAAAGAAAGAAAAAAAGCAAATAAAAAGAAAAGAAAAAAAAAAAAAAAAAAAAAAAACAAAAAAAAAAAAAAATTAAAAAAAAAAAAGATAAAAAAAAAAAAAAAGAAAAAAAAAAAAAAAAAAAATAAACAAATTGAAAAAAAAAAAAAAAAAAAAATAAAAAAAAGAAAAAAAGCCCCGCGCACTGCGGGGTTGCCGTCGGGATCTGTGAAGCGTATGGGAACTACAGCCACGCTCTCGTATACGTCTGCACACGCCTGCGAGAATGCGTCTCTCCAGGTGCTGAAATCCTCGAAGGCGCCAGCTGTCGCGGCCAACAACTCCTCCGTGCCTGTAGTCGCAAGCACTCCATTGTCAGGCGACGATCGAGCGGCGACTCGGTAGCATCGATGCCATGGCTTCTCCAAGCGGGGCTTTGAACCTGAACTCGCTGGCGCACCCACGCGGGGTACCAACGTCTCTCGGCACGCGATGTCAGGCTGCCAGCTAACAGGCACCGAACGCAGGGGCTTCGCGAGCCGCCAACACGCCCCTGCACCGTCGGCGGCATGCTGGCTGCAACCGCATGCGCCACCTTCGCGCTGATAAAGCAGCGCGTCGATTGCATCGGGGCCTCCCACGCTCGCCACTGCAGCGTAACACTTGCTTTCGGCCAGCCACGCCGTCTGCCCGACTGCGGGCGCCAGCTCGGGGCCACGCTTGCTGGCACCGCTAAGAAGAAAGCGCAAACGCGATCCATTGAAGATGGAACTGGGGTTCAATTGCATGGCGACGGTGCCACCAAGACGGGCCGTCTTGGCAGCCTCGGCGATGTCAGCATACGCCAGATCCCTGGGGAGCGCCACAGCCGCCGTAGAGGTGGCTGTGGCGCTCCCCAGGCCTGCGATCTGCGCTGTAAGCGCCTCATGAGATTTCGTTTTCTTGCGCGGGCGCCAGGGCTTCAATGCGCAGAATCGGCGGCGTGGTCGAATCTGCTTCTTGGACACCCTTGCTGGTTGCCGGCGGGCGCGATGGACCGGCAATGCCGAGATCGAAGGGCGGCACGAGTGGCCCTTGAGCACGAGGTTCAGCCGAAGGAAAATCTTGCCGCATGACCTGCACTTCCAACCCTCGGACAGACGACCGACACCGGCCGCCAAAACTCTCGAGAGCAGCGGCCTTGGCCGCATGGAGCGCATGGAACGCTTGGTGCCTGTCCATCGTTCTCTGCATGTGTTGCCCGGTGGCTGTGAATCGCCACGTGCGCCCCCGCGCAAAACAATGTTTCGCTGGGAGGGCGAAGCATGGACAGCCTGTGAACACATCGCAAACCAATGTCTGCTCGGCGCCCGGCTGCATCTGCTCGGCTTTCCGCGGGGGCGGAGCGCGCGAGCCATGCGACTTGAGCCTAGATGGCAACGCTGGCAGGGGTAACGGTAGCGGGGCGAGGAAGGAGATCAAAGACGGCCCAAGAGGCTCCCAAGACCGCCCCAAGACGGCCAATGAGGCCACCAACAGGGCCCCCAAGACGGCCCACGTGAGCAACAAGAGGGCACTACGCGGGGCCCGAAAAAGGTGAATACTGCATAATATTTCGAGAGTTCCCCCCCCCTCCCCCCAAAAAAAAAGCCCAGAAGGGCTCCCTCAGAGCCCTCCGAGTCGCGTCCAAAGAGGCCCCCAAGAAGCACCCAGGAGCCCCCCCCAAGAAGCTCCCCGAAGCTCACAACATGGCCCAAAAAGCCTTCCAAGAGGCCCCTGAGAGGTATTCCAAGAGCCACTCATATGCTGCCACAGACTCTTGACCCACAAGATATATTCGAAGAACGTGCGAGCTCTCACTTGTCTTGGGGATCGGCGGAATAGGGCGCACCACTTGAATAATAGTTGCGGGGCGAGGGTGAACCGAGCTGGGCGACAAAATGCTTAATGCCGCCCGTTCCCAATGTATCCGTGAGATCCGCTCCCGCGCCTGATCATCCTGGTCCTCGTCCTCCTCCCCCTCCTCTTCCTCTGCTCTTCCTCCTCCTCCTCCTGCAATCCCTGGCGGTGGCCCCGGCGGTGGCGATGGTCCACTTCTTGCTTCTCCTCCCCATGCTCCTGCTCCTGCTACTCCGCAACAATTTTGGCGCTGAAGTGCGACCGCGCTCGGGCTGCAGCCTCGGCCCGCGCGCGCGATGACGACGATCAAGCGCGACTGCGTCGTGTTGCACGACAACCGTACGGGGCGCGAGCTGGTCACGGCCGTCGAGGTCATCGGAGACCGCGAGTGTATCACCGTGACCACCGCAGGTTGGAGCAAGTGGGTGTGCGGCAAGGCTCAGGGCTTGCGAGGCACGATGTTCCTAACGTGGCTGAAAAATCAGCGCGCCGCGTCGTCGGGGCCAAGGGCGCCGACGACGCTCTTCGCGGCAGCGGAGCCAGGCCGCCGCCCGACCACGCGGCCCGGCCGCGCCAGCCGCCAGGTTCCAGTGGACGAGTGCTTCAAGACAGCGCAGCTGCCGCCGTTTGGCGATACGGAGGCAACAGAGCTGCAGATTGTCATTCCCCCACCTCATAGGGGGGGGAGGGACAAGCTGCAGGTGGTGCTGCACGAGAAGGGCGTAGAGTACATCAAGGCCAAATTGCTTCAGGAGGCGGCGGAGGCGGCAGAGGCGAGCACGGCGCTGAAGCGCCCGCGGCGCCACGAGACCGATGTTCCTTGCGGCGCCCGCATCTATTGGGTGCAGCGGCTCCAAGCTTGGCGGGCCGTCCGCACAGACAGCGGTTGCAGCAGGACGGCCTTGTTCCGCACAAACCGCGGCTGCAGCAAGGATGACGCTGAAGCGGCCGCGGCGAAGTGGTGCACCGCCGAACTCAAGGATAGCGAAGCGGAGGAGCTCCAGGAGATGGAAGCGGAGGCGGAGGGCGATGCGGAGGAGGAGGCCGACTCGGTCTGAGCTGCGGCGCGCTCGGTCGACCGCATCGCTGGGGCGTGCGATCACGGTCGGCAGTGCGATTGAGAATGGCAGTGAGGAGGACGAGCACGAGGGCGAGGGCGAGGGGGGGAACGAGGAGGAGGATTGGGATAATAATTGTGGATTGCTGGTAGATCCCCCCAATGTTCGCTACTGTTGGTGCCATTGCGAATCGTTGGTATGATCAAGCATGCTGCAGCACGACGACACTACGATCAAGTGTGCCTCTCACGCGCTACCGCCGTCGATGTGTGACCTCACGGCGCTGCAGCGCTGACTTGCGTTTCGTGTGTTTGGAGTCCATCGTGCTGCAGCGCTGACTAACGTTCGGGTGTCTGGCGTGCCGATGCCAGAGTGTTGCATCGCGCTGCAGCGCTGACTTACATTTTGTGTGTCTGGCGTGTTGATGTAGCGCTTCGATCGCGCTTGCAGCCCGCATGTTCGCATTATGTTACTGCATGTGGTTCGCAGCCACCTGTGATCAGAACACCAATGGCGGCCAACATGAGTGCAGCGACGCCGCCATGGCGGTTTCCCTCGGAGCCAGTGCCGCCGCCGAAGGCGAAGTCCGCTGCATCGGATGCGACATGTGCGGCTACTCCCCCTCCCCCGCCGCCGCCGCCGCCACCGCCGCCTCCGACGTCGACGAGGACCGCGGCTGCAGCCGCCAGTGATGCGCCAGCCCCGCGCGCGGCTGCAGCCGCGCGCAAGCGCGATGCTGAGACCAAGGTTGGCATGTGGAAGCTTGTGCGCGACATGCTTCGGGAAGCGCTTCAGCGCGGGGACCGCGAGACAGCGGTTGCGCCGGCCGTCCAATACCACGTGGCGAAGAAGCCGCGGAAGTGATGGGCGCGCGGCGCGCGCGCGGTCGGTGCTGCAGCACCACTGTTTCAGTCGGAGACCAGACTACTTAAAAAACAAATAAAGCACAAAAAAAAAGCATCCGCGACACGCGGCGGCTACGGCGACAGCTGACAACGAAGAACGGCTTTCAAAGACGACGTAATCACTATGACCAAAAGGTGAAAAAGGACCAGGGGAATGACATCGAATTAACGGGTTCCTCAGCAGAACCAGCGTAAATTTAAAAAAAGACACAAGGCACAAAAACCGACGAAAAAGGACCAAAAGCCAGACATGTAAGGATCTACAGCGCAGCGGCAGGAGAAGAAGGTGGAGGGAGGATGACGATGAGGAGGAGGAGGGTGATCAGGTGGACGACGACATTGAGGACGACGTTCTGGAACGCCCTCATTTTCACAGGTTCCCACCGCTCGCTGCCAGCACCTCGGAGCAGGGGAAGGGGGGCAGGATGATGAAGATGAGGAGGAGGAGGAGGAGAAGGAGGCCGAGGACGAGGAGCATGACGAGGAGGAGGAGGAGGAAGACAACCAGTTGGCACCCATGCCCCGCCCCCCCGCTCCTTCTGCCTACTCCTGCCTCCACATCTTCCCTCTCGTCCTCCTCCTCCTCCTCCTCCTCCTCCTCCCCCTCCTCCTCCTCCTCCTCCTCCTCCCCCTCCTCATCCTCATCCTCATCCTCCCTCGCATTCTCCTACTCCTCCTTCTCCTCCTCCTCCTCCTCCCTCTCCTTCCCCTCCACCTCAACCTCCTCCTCCCTCTTCCTCCAGCCCCCCCTCCTCCCCTCCTCCCCCCACCTCCTCATCCCTCCAATCTCCACCTCCTCCTCCAAGACATGCTCCATAGACCTGAGGGGAGCAAGGGCCCTGGGGAGTCAATCCAGTGCGTTGGCCCTCGGAGGATCAGAAGTCAACAACAAAAAAAACAAAAAACACACGAAACAACAAAAACAAACAAATTTGGGGTGATGTTACTTTGCGGGGCGATGTTACTTTGGGGGGTCAGCCGACTGGTTAGCAGGGGCCCATCGTCGTCAGCGTCGTCGCCATCGCATTCGTC